TTTTTTTTTTTTTGGCGGTACCGGGGATTGAACTCAGGACCTTGCTCTTGCCAGACAAGCACTTATTCTACTGAGCTATCTCCCCGGCCCCAAGGGTCTTTTAAAAAAAAACCAGCAGGTGGCATCTTCTGCCTAGGGCCTCCTGCCAGGTCAGCAGTGCTATAGGCACCCAGGATGGGGCCAGCTGGCACCCTCCTGTTCACTTCTGACAGGGTAAGGCTAGGGGTAAGAAGATGGATAGCATTTGCCCAATCCATACTTTGAAGCAGGGAGGATGGTGGGACATAGTCTGAACCTGGGTGCCCACTGCTGCTATGGGGGTAGTGAGCATGGTTTGCAGGGGCAGGTGCAGGGGGTCCTCCCTCCCACAAGTTCTCAGGCCCAGGAAAGGGAGAAAAGCTTCACAAGTTCCAAGGTAATGGAGCCGATGTGTATCAGGTAAGGGGAGCTGGGCATGGTGGCCAGGCCAAGGTGGCATGGGTGGGGGTGTGTGGAGCACAGGCTCGGTTCTGGAGGCCTCTCTGGGCCTCAGTTTCTCCAACTGTTACATGGCTGTACACCCTGCCTTCCTGGGTGCTATGAAGAGGGAAGAAGAAAAGTGGGGGCCAGAGGGAAAGCCCCATAAACATGGTTCTCCTTTAGAGAGCAAAGCTGGATTCTCCCAGCATCCAGAAATGTGTCCTCCTCCCCACCCCCAGAAATGTTTCTAGCCTTGACTGGGGCCACTTGGGTTAAGCAGAGCACAGAATTCCTGCGCAAAAGAGGAAGCATGCTGAGGGAGGCCAGTGTGGCAGCCTAAGATCACACAGCAGGTCTGGAGAGGTAAAGAAGACAGGGACCTGCCCACTGCACTCTCCCAGCAACTTTGACAGGTCAAGGTGGGCAGACTCATTCTGTAGAGAAGAAAACTGAGACTCAGAGGTCACACAACAACTGAAAGTATCTCTATAGCCCCCCTTTCCAAGCAGAGGAGACATAGCTCCTTTGCCAACCCTGCAATAGGAGAAATCCTTCTCTTCTCAAGGATCCAGCTACTATTCCCACTACCAGCACTCAAATCAAGGGGCACCCACTGGAGGGGGACCAGGGGGACTTCTCTGGGTCCTCCTACCCTCCTCTGGCTAGTGGCGCATTAACATTCCGGGCTCCTGCCTAGCCTGACCTACTTCGGAGACTGACTGGAGTGCAGAGGGGGAGGGGAGGAAGGTGGTAGAGGAGGGAGGCAGGGACGGAGGGCAGAGGCAGGGAGAGAGGAGGTACCTGGCTTGGGCTTGGAGAAGCAGCCCCCCATGGTGAGTGGCTTGAGGACAGGCGGCCAAACAGAACACAGATGGTCGGGCTGTGGGAGGCCTAGGGCGCCTCCCATGGGGCTGGAACCCCTGCGACCCTTAGAGATGCTGCAGCAGCCATCCCAGCTGGAGTTGCCTTAGGACCTGCAGGGGAGACTTGGGGCATAAGGACAGGGGTTTGATGGAGTTTGCGGGCAGGAATGTGAGCGGCAGAGATAGGCCTTGAGAGATCCTGGAAGAATTGTACATTTGAGCCATAATTGGTTCATGCCACGGACCCTGGAAAGCAACTCATTTTTGTGGCCCTCCAGCTCAACCCTGCAGGGCTCTTTTGACCTTTGCATGGGCTAAGGGAATTTGTTTTGTTCCAGTGTCGACCAGCCCTACCCAGTCCCACAGCTGCCTTGTCTTAACACTCCCTGGATTCTGCTACTCCCTCAAGACCCCAGTCTTGCACATCCCCCCTCCAAACCCCACAACCGAGATCCTCCATTTTCTCAGGAGGCCACTGTGATTGGATTAAAACCTGGGTCACTTTGGGCAAGCCAGAGCTTGCCTGGTACTTGGGTTCCTCTTTCCTACAATGGGAGGGATGTGGGGTTCTCCCTGGCCTCGGCCTCCACTCTGGTTGATGGCCCCTGGACACCCACCTCTTCCGAGGCAGCCACAGCTCCTTGCTCACAGCCCAGCAGTGGACAGAGGCCGCCTGGCCTTGGAGGCAGGGCAGGGAAGGCAGGGGTCCAGGAGGTGGCCTAGCCTCTGCCCCTCCTCCTAGTGTGAGCTGTGGCAACAACGAAGGGTTGGGGGTGGGGTGTGTGGGGCTAGGCCAGTCCACTGGTCCCCAGGGAAACCCAGCTCCTTGGTGAATAAGAGCAGGCGGCCAGCCTGGGACTGATGGGGTTGGGGAAGAGAGAAGCCAGGCACACAGCCCTCAGCAGCCTGTGCCCAGCAACCATAGCCCAGCCTCCCATCCAGGCCTGGGTTGCTGAGGCCATGCTGAACAGCAGACAGGCTTGAGGGGCCAAGGTCTCTTCAAGGTCAAGCAGCTGATGTGGGTATCCAGATGACCTCCCACCCTCCTCCTCACCTTAGTTTGAAGATGGGCAGGGCCCCAGGAGGTGACCTATCACCCTAAGGCCCCACAAGGCACTCGCTGAGGGATGGGGCACCTGGTTAGCAGAAAGAACACTGCAGCCAAGGTGTCTCTAAGCCACTGGGGGGCCTTCCAGGAGATGCAGCTTACAGGTGGACTTTGGAAGGGCTTGGATCAAGGTGTAGCTACTTTGTTTACAATTGATCTCCATAGTCCATTGCACTGTCATTGGCCTGTTACCCCTGGAATTCTTCCTAAAGTTTAATTCTAGGTGGTACTGAGGCCCATTAGGTCCAGCCCAGATCCCAGGAAAGGAAGGGGATATGTACTGGAGAACCAGGGGGCTGGGGAGGAGGGACCCACCCTCTGTCTGGCCCTAAAAGGCACACCATTTAGGTGTACCTTTGCTCTTTCCCTACCTGTCACCAAGCCATGTCTATAAAATTCAGTGGCCACCCATCCTCTTGCCCGCTACCCAGGCACTTGAGAGCCCCTCACCAGGTCCTTGGTTCAGCTGTTGCTCAGTTCTGGCCTCTTCCTCCTCCTCCCTAGCTGGCCTCATGCTCCCTCTGCTGGGCCACAGATCCCCAAAACTGACCCCTCAAGTGCCCACAAACCCACTTCCTTCCCTTCCTGGTGCCCAGGAGATTTGGGCGGACCACTCCTACCTATAGTGTGCCAGGCCAGTTTAGAGCTAGTCACTCCAACTCAAAGGCAAATGTCTTTCTTGGGCACTGCAGAAGTGGAATGCCCAAGGTTTTTTGCAGAGTGCTCTCTTGCTTTCAAGTGGCCCCTACTGAAAAGTTCTAACAGTGCCCAATGCTCACTACCAGCCAGGGGCCAATGTCCTCTCCCAGGGCACCTTCCAGGGTACTGAATTATCCCCTCTTCCCAGAGATGTTTTTACTCCCAGGACCCCAGGATCTGCTGTCCCTCCCTGGTCCAATTCATCCCGGGGGTCTCCTGCCCAGCTTGGGCCCCTAGTAGGTTCCTGGCATCCAGAAGACGATGTCTGAGCATCTCCACCCAAAATGCAAGTTTTGGGGGGCTGCGCTGCTCTGATTCCCGCGGAGCTCTGGTGCCGGCCTCTGTCCACTCTCCCTGCCTTTGCACGTGCAGCTCCTTCGGTCGGAGAAGCTGGCTGCGTCCTGGTCCCCCAGCCGACCGGGCAGCTGGCAGCAGGAGGGCTCCGCGGGAAGCCGGAGGAACAGCCGGAAGAGGGTTGGACGGAGGGCCGCCCTAGCCCCCTGCCTGTCTCTTCAGACCTGGCTGATGACCCTTACCCCCATCTCACGGGCCAGGGTCCGAGGTCGGAGAGCACGTGGAGCGACATGGCCCAGGTGGCTGAGTGGGAGACGGGGTCCCAAGGCCGGGGTTCCCGGACCGGGCGCTTACCTGGGCTCCGCGCTGCCTGGGCTCTGGAACCGCTTGGGGCCGCGGCCGCTGGGGGGGG